ATATAGACCATAAAAAAAGGAACCAATTATGTTAATTGAACTAATTACTAACCACTTATAACAACTCTGTTTTTTTTCTTGTAATTCTTCTAAAATTTGTTGATTATTTGTATTCATACTTTTACCTTTTATATTATTATTTATCATACTTTTAATTGTGATTATTGTTATGTTTTAGGGTATTCCGAGAAATTTTTTAATTATTGCAATGCAGCAAAAACCAGGTGTCAGGATTTTTTTTGCTAATTTGGTTTATACAGATTGCACTGTCACTAGTTATGAAGGTGGTAATAAATGATTTTCTTGGATTAACCTACGCATAGTCTTAGCGAGTAATATTTTTGAGGAGTTGTTTTCACCAACAAAAGCGAGAACAGCAAAAAAAAAAAAAAGCAATTATATAAGAAATTACCCTAAAAATTGACTGGTTTTTTGTTATCTCGACAAAATGAATATCCTTTTTCTATTCTTTTTAAATTACTTTAAGAAATTTAATTAAAAATAAAAACAGAAAATAATTTTACCTGATGTAATAACTATTTTTAACCAAAAAATTTTCCTAAAACTTTTATTTTTTTTTGGAAAAATTATCCGGTCGGCTTGGCTTGGTAAAATTTATATATAATTGCTAAATAAAAAAATACTAACTTTTAGTTTTGTGTTGCAATAGTTTACGAAACTAAGATTTTACCGAATTTTTATTATGATATTTATATCTCCTTTTTTGCCACCGCGTAATCCGTCATTACCTACTTCGCGAATGCGAAGTTTTTGGCCGGCTCGCACCCCGGACGGAATTCTGATTACTATCGTTTCTTTTTGGGTTATAAACTTCTGCCCCAAACAGCGTTCGCACTTACCATAGCAGCGAGGGCAAGTAGTTTGGCTACGAATATTGCCCAAAAAAATTGAGTAGGAGGTCTGGACTACCCCATAACCCCGGCAAGTCGGACATTTTACAATATTGTCTGGAGTTTGAACTCCGCTCTGGTGACAATTAGCACAAGCCCGTGCGACGGAAAAAGAAAGTTTTTTTCTCGTTCCGTTTTTGGCTTCTTCTTGGGTCAAAGTCAAACTGAAAGTTAAATCTTCTCCCTGTTGAGCGACAGGCTCCGAAGTAAAACGCGTCCGGCTTTGGCGGTATTCGGTTCTCTGACCAAAGTCAAAGTCCGCAAAATTTCTTAAAATTTCGTCAAAAATTGAAGAAGCACCAGTAAATCCCTCAAATCCTCCCCCGACACGAAAGAAATCCTGTTTACCCCCATATCTATCGTATTGTTGCCGCTTTTCTTTATTGCCTAGCACCCCGTAAGCCTGGTTAATTTGTTTCATTTGTTCCTCGGCTTGCTTTTTTTCCTTATCACTCTTGCCCGCCCAACGGTCAGGATGTCATTTGAGGGCTAATTTCCGATAAGCCTTTTTAATTTCCTCATCCGAAGCCGTTTTTTTCACCCCCAATATATCGTAATAGTCTTTGTCGGTCATAAAATAATGCTGATTATTTCCTTATTTTTCAATAATACTTACTTATTTTAAGCATCGTAATACAGATTTTCTGCCGTCCAACTCCAAAAACCATAATACTACTAACTACAAAAAATATAAATATGAGTCAGACCTACACCGGAACCGTAATTAGTTTAAAGAATGCCAAAACTGCTACCGTGGAACTAACTTTTAATTATTTGGATGCTAAATATCACAAACCTATTCGCCGCAAGAAAAAAATTCAAGCCCACAATGAAGAACATAATTTACAATTAGGCGACCAAGTAGTAATCAAAAATAGCCGTCCTTACTCGGCAACCAAAAGATTTTTAATAATTAAAAAAGTAACATAGTTAAAAATTAACAAATCAATAATATTAAGGAAAAAATTAAATTAAATGTTCAAATTTTTTTGTAAAACAAAAATCGCTATAAGAGACTACACAATGTTACAAAATCAAACGGGTCCGACTTGCGGTTCTACACAACGCAAGAACAACATTAAATTTTATCGGTATTTACGAGTATAGATTTGGCTTTTCTGAGATAGTGAAAAATTAAAAGAATAAGGATGTTTTAAAAATTGCTACAATGATATAATATGACAAAAGAATTGTAAATAAAAAAAGAAAATTATTTTAAGTAATTAATAATTAGTTTAGAGGGAATGGCGGGTTCGATTTTTTATGGATGCAAATAAATCTAAATTGTTCGGAAATATTTGGTGGGATAGAAAGGAGTATAATTAGAATAAGTATTATAAACTGTCAAGATATTTGTTTCATTAACACTGCTTCTTAATGCTATTCATTTTTTAATTTAGTTTTATTATATTG